CCAATCCCGGTGCCCGCTCCCGCTCCGTCCCCCACCCCGGCCCCGCTCCACGTGGCATCCCGGTACCTCCGGGCCCTCCCCGGTGCCCGCTGCCGGTTCCGGGGGGTGCCACAGGTGGGCGGGGGTCTCACCTGGCGGAGGGGCACCGTTTGCACCACGCCTTCCTCCGCTGCAGCCGGAGCAGGGGGCCCCGCTCGGCTTCCTGCGACATCCCGGTGTTCCCGATATTCCCGGTGCTCGCGGAGGGCGGAGCGGGATGGGAGGGTCGGGATGCAGCTCCGGGGGAGGCTCCCGCTGCTGGCCCGGCCTCTCCCGGCCCGGAGCCGCCTCCCGGTGGGACCGAGACCCCCCTCCCCAACCCGGGAATTTTGGGATCTGGGAAATTCCGATATCCGGTTCTCCCTCTGACCCCGTTTCCCTCGGGAATGGGGGTTGCCGAGGAATCCAACCGGAATTTTCCAGGCGCGGCGTTGTGCCCGGTCCTGGTTTTCCCTTTTCCCTGTTTTTCACCCGCTCCAGAATTCCCTGGTTTGTTTTTTTAATGTTTCTAAGCCGGGAGTCGCGTGGTGCCCCACAAAATCCCTCCCCCCTTCACCAAAAAAAAGCAAAAAATAAAAAAAAAAAAATTTAAAAAAATCCCGCCGTGGGAAGCGGGGGGAATTAAAAAATTATCCAAGGAAAGATGAACAAAAGGAGGGGAAAAAAAGAGAAAAAAAGGGAAAAATAAAAGAAAAAAGGGGGGAAAAAAGGACAAAAAAGGAAAGGAAAAAAAAGAAGAAAGAAAAAAAAAGAATAAGAGGAAAAACAAAGAAAAAAAAAAAAGAAAAAGAAAAAAAATTTTGTTTTTTTCCCAAACCTTCGGAGCCGTGTTTTCCACAGGCTCGGAGTCCAAGGTTAAAGATAAAACCGGCCGGGAATCGGCGCCGGGAATGTGGGAATGAGATTTGACTGGTGGGAAGAGGGGGGTGGAGGTTGGCAGGGGCGGGAAAAATCCCTGCTGGAAAAATCCCGGCCTCTGGAGCCATCCCGGCCTGGAATTTGTGGGAATTAGGGACAGGCAAAGGTGACTGGGGTGGGGTTTTTTGGGATCATGGAATTAATTAGGGTGGAAAACCCTCAGGAATCAGGGAATTCCAGGATCCCTGTCGTCCCCCTGCCCAAATCCACAGGGATTTGAAATCCCACCAGGAATAGGGACTGGAAACCCTTTCCAGGCAGGAATTCTTTCCAGGTCCTTTTCCCCACCGGGCAGAATTCCAGCCTCGAGCATTCCATGGACCCGGGAATCCTTGGAGCTGTCAGGGATATTTGGGATTTTTGGGAAGGAATTCTTCCCTGGGAGGGTGGGGAGGAGCTGGGCTGGAATTCCCAGAGAATTCCCGGAGAGAAGTGACCAAGGAAAGGTTGGAGAATGCTGGGATTGTGAAATTCCAAGAATTTGATGATTCTGTGCCCCAGATCCCACGGTTTTGTGGCACTTCCTATAATTCCAGGAATTCCCTGGATATTGGAAGGTGTCGGGGTTGGAATGGGATGGGATTTAAACTTCCATCCCGGAATTTTGTGCTGCAGATCCCACAGCTTTGTGGCACTTCCCAAAATTCCAGGAATTCCCTGGATATTGGAAGGTGTCGGGGTTGGAATGGGATGGGATTTAAGCTCCCATCCCGGAATTTGAGGATTCCACACCTCAGATCCCACAGTTTTGTGGCACTTCCCACGATTCCAAGAATTCCCTGGATGTTGGAAAGTGTTGGGCTTGGAATGGGATGGGATTTAAGCTCCCATCCCGGAATTTGAGGATTCCACACCTCAGATCCCACAGTTTTGTGGCACTTCCCACGATTCCAAGAATTTCCTGGATCCAAGAATTCCCTGGATACTGGAAGGTGTCAGGCTTGGATTTGGGATGGGATTTAAGCTTCCATCCCAGAATTCCATGCCTCAGATCCCACGGTTTTAAGGCACTTCCCACAATTCCAAGAATTCCCTGGATGTTGGAAAGTGTCGGGCTTGGAATGGGATGGGATTTAAGCTTCCATCCTGGAATTTGAGGATTCCACACCTCAGATCCCACAGTTTTGTGGCACTTCCCACGATTCCAAGAATTTCCTGGATCCAAGAATTCCCTGGATACTGGAAGGTGTCAGGCTTGGATTTGGGATGGGATTTAAGCTTCCATCCTGGAATTCCAGGCCCCAGATCCCACAGCTTTGTGGCACTTCCCACAATTCCAAGAATTCCCTGGATACTGGAAATTGTCAGGCTTGGATTTGGGATGGGATTTAACCTTCCATCCTGGAATTCCAGGCCTCAGATCCCACATCTTTGTGGCACTTCCCACAATTCCAAGAATTTCCTGGATCCAAGAATTCCCTGGTTGGTGGAAGGTGTCGGGCTTGGAGTAGGATGGGATTTAAGCTTCCATCCCGGAATTCCATGCCTCAGAGCCCACCGTTTTGTGGCACTTCCCACAACTCCAAGAATTCCCTGGTTGGTGGAAGGTGTCGGGCTTGGAATGGGATGGGATTTAACCTTCCATCCCGGAATTCCATGCCTCAGCTCCCACAGCTTTGTGGCACTTCCCACAATTCCAGGAATTCCCTGGGTCGTGGAAAATGTGGGCTTGGAATTGGGATGGGATTTAAGCTTCCATCCCAGAATTCCATGCCTCAGATCCCACGGTTTTAAGGCACTTCCCACAATTCCAAGAATCTTGGGACAGAGGACAAATCCTTGGGATGGAGAACAAATCCTTGGGATAGAGGACAAATCTTTGGGATAGAGGACAAATCCATGGCAACTGGGAATTCAAAACTGGGAAACAAATCCTTGGGATGAAGAATAAATCCTTGGGATGACGAACAAATCTTTGGGATTGAGAACAAAACTTTAGGATGGAGAACAAATCCTTGGGAAGGAAAACAAAACTTTGGGATGGAGAGCGAATCCTTGGGATGGAAATCGAAACCTTGGGATGGAGAACAAATCTTTGGGATGAAGAACAAGTTCTTGGGAAAGAAAACAAAACTATGGGATGGAGAGCAAATCCTTGGGATGGAGAAAAAACCCTTGGGATAGAGGACAAATCCTTGGGATGGAGAACAAATCTTTGGGATAGAGAACAATTCCGTGGCAATTGGGAAATTCAAAACTGGGAAACAAATCCTTGGGATGAAGAACAAATCTTTGGGATTTTAGGATGGAGAACAAATCCTTGGGAAGGAGAACAAATCTTTGGGATGGAGAACAAATCCTTGGGAATAGAGAACAAATCTTTAGGAATAGTGAACACATCTTTGGGATAGAGGACAAATCCTTGGGATAGAGGGCAAATCCTTGGGATGGAGAACAAATCCTTGGGATTAGAGAACAAATCTTTGGGAATAGTGGACAAATCTTTGGGATAGAGAACAAATCCGTGGCAATTGGGAATTCAAAACTGGGAAACATAACCTTGGGAAGGAAAAGAAAAATTTGGGATAGAGGGCAAATATTTGGGATGGAGAGAAAACTCTTGGAATGGACAAGAAATTCCTGGGCATGGAGAACAAATCTTTGGGATGGAGAAGAAATCCATGGGATGGAGAACAAAACTTTGGGATTGAAAACAAATCCTTGGGATGGAGAACAAATCCTTGGGAAGGAGAACAAAGCTTTAGGATGGAGAATAAATTTTTTGGCACGGAGAAGAAACTCTTGGAATGGACAGCAAATTCCTGGGATGGAGAACAAATCTTTGGGATGGAGAACAAATCATTGGGATGGAGAAAAAAAACCTTGGGATGGAGAACAAATCCTTGGGATGGAGAACAAGTCCTTGGGATGGAGAACAAATGCTTGGGATGGAGAACAAATTCCTGGGATGGAGAACAAATCTTTGGGATGGAGAGCAAGTCCTTGGGATGGAGAGCAAATCCTTGGGATGGAGAACAAATCATTGGGATGGAGAAAAAAAACCTTGGGATGGAGAACAAGTCCTTGGGATGGAGAACAAATTCTTGGGATGGAGAATAAATCTTTGGGATGGAGAATAAATTCTGGGAATGGACAGCAAATTCCTGGGATGGAGAACAAGTCCTTGGGATGGAGAGCAAATATTTGGGAACAGAAAAAAAAACCCCTTGGGGTGGAGAACAAATCTTTGGGAAGGAGAACAAACTCTGCCTTTCCCTCCCTTCCCGGATCCTGGATCATCTCCTGCCTGGTGATTCCCAGCCTTGGGAATCTCCTGATCCCTCAGGGAAGGTCGGGAATCTCTTTCTCCAAAGCAGAACAACCCAGGAACCCCCAGGACATTCCCTGGATCCCAGTTTGGCTCCAATCCCGGTGCCGTCCCTATTCCCACCTCAGCTTGACAAATTCCTGTAGGAATTCCCTCAGGATTGTCAGGACATGGTCCTCTTGGATGGACGGGATGCGAGGGGTGCTCCCGAGGGGCTGGCGCTGATCCCGCTGGGAATGGGATCCGCTCTTCCCTCGCTCCTCAGCCGGATCCGCAGGATCTTCTGCCTGGCTGACCTGGAGGGAGAAAAGCCTGGTGTGGAATTTTCGGGATGAACGCACCCATCCTCCTTGCTGGAATTCTTGGGAAGCCTTCCCGGGGATCCTGGGATCTGCCGGGCTCCCCCCTGGTGATCCCACCTGGATCTTGGGCGCGTGGTGGGATTCGTAGTCCAGGAAAAAATCCACGAGGGCGCGCAGCTCGTCCTCGTCCTCGATCCGGAGGGCCTGGAAAAGCGGGAATTCCGTCAGGGATGGGCAGGGGAAGGGACGGGAATTTTCCAGGAGCAGAGGGAATGATGGAATTATGGCAAAAGCCGGCTGAGGAAGGAATGGTTGGGAAGAGGTTGATGTGGGATAGCCAGGAATATCCATGGATTGGAAAGTCTGGGAACAGGCTGGAGGAGCCCTGGAGGCGTTTAAATCATCGGGATGGGCTGGAGGTGGGAATCTGGGAATCGTGGAATGTTCTAGGTGGGAAGGGACCTCACAGCTCATCCCATTCCGTGGGCAGGGACACCTTCCATGATCCCAAACCTTGGACGTTCCCAGGGGTCCAGGGGCAGCCACGGCTTCTCTGAGAATTCCAGCCCAGCCAGGAATCCCTTCCCAAGATCCCACCATCCCAAGCTCCCCTTTCCCACTGGAAGCCATTCCCTGGCTCCTGGCCCTCCAGCCCTTTCCCAAATCCCAGCTCTCCTGGAGCCTCTGGAAAAGGCTCCAAGGATTCCCTGGATCCTTCCCTGATCCAGCTGCACATTCCCAGCTCTCCCAGCCTGGCATTGGATCCATCCCCATCCCAACTCCTCTCTGGGAAGAAATTTCAGGATCCAGGGGCTTCACTGGGAATTGGGGACTCCAGGAAGGGTCTCCCTTCCTTTTTCCATCCCCATAAAATTCCATAAAAATCCCTTGGTATGGATTCCAACTGTCCCTGATCTCAGAATTCCCAACACCTCCCACTATTGCTCCAAGCCCCATCCAACCTTTCCTTGGAGACTCCCAGGGATTCTCTGGGAATTCCAGCCCAGCCGGGAATTCCTTCCCAAGATCCCACCATCCCAAGCTCCCCTTTCCCACTGGAAGCCATTCCCTGGCTCCTGGCCCCTCCAGCCCTTTCCCAAATCCCAGCTCTCCTGGAGTCCCTTTTGGGATTCCCCGGATCCCTCCCTGATCCAGGTGAGCATTCCCAGCTCCACGTCCTCCTGGTGCTGAGCATTCCAAGCCCAATCCCGGGAGATCCCATCCCAGCTCACCTCGAAGATGGATCGGAGCTGCTGGACGTCGTTCCTGGGTCCCACCACCTCCCTCAGCGGCTTTAGGAGTTTGTTTTCCAGCAGGAATTCCTTGGGAAAAAGGCCGGGAAGAGGGGGCAGAGCCGCGGTGAGCATTCCCAGCCCTCATTCCAAAGGGATCCACAAAAAAAACCTCTGGATCTGGGGCTGCTCCCGGATCCCGAGCTCCAGCACCGCTCACCGACTCCTTGCTCACGACCTCCAGGATTTTCCGGAGGGTGTTCCTGGGAATGCCTGGCCGGGATGTGATTCTTTTCTCGATCCTTTCCTGGTTTTCCTTCCCTCCCTCTGCGCTCCGGGATCCTTTCTTCTTACTCCTCCTCCCTTCCTGCTCCGGTTTGCCAGACTTGAGCCCTAAAAGTCAGAGAGGGAAGCGGGAGCAAGATCCCAAAACGTGGGAATCCCTGGAAAACAAAGCTGCTGGGATGACAGCTGCTTCTTGGAACTGGGAAAAAAAACAACAAAACAGCGGGAATATCCCTTGGAATGAGCCAGCTCAGGGCTGGCACCTCCTGAAAAATCCCATCTGGAAACCCGGCGGGACACGGGAGGAAGATTCCCAAGGGATTTACGGATCCCACCTTCCAGAAGCTTCGTGGCCAGCTCCATGGCATCCCCCTTTTCCTGGGCGCGTCCCAGGGGCCCCACGTTATCCATGAACCACAAGTGAGGCTCTTCCCACGGCATTCCCAGCTGCTGGACGTGGATGATCCGATCGGCATCCAGCGCTTCCCGGATCAGCGCTTTGGCCTCTTCCTCGTTCACGATCCAAACCTGACGGAATTTCTCGGCGCTGCTGCGCATCAGCTGCCTGCGGGAAAGGATCCCGAAGGGGTTGGATCCCGCTCCGCTGTTCCCGAGGGTGGAATTCCAAGCGCTTCCCACCTCATCCGGTTCCGCGTCTCCTGGAACTGCCCCGTGACCCGCTCCAGCTCCGACTCCAGGCTCTGCTTGTCCTCTTGGAATTTCATCTCCTGCTGGGCCATTTTGGCCCTCAGCAGTTCCAGGGACGTCCGCAATCTGGGAAGGGACGAAGAGCGCGGGATTGGGAATGCCCTGGACGCGGGAAAAGGTTTGGGAACGGGAGGGGGTTCCCCGGGATGGGATTTACCGGTTGATTTTCCTTTTCTGCTGGGATCGGAGCGTGGAATTTTCCACGTCCAGCTGCCGGAGCACGTCCAGGTTGTATTCCAGCTTCACCTGGTTCAGGTGGTAAATCCCCTTCATCTGCCGGAGCTTCTTCTCCAGGTACTGGAATTCCACGCGGGAACAAAAAAAAAATTCACAAAGAACTCCATGAAAATTCCGTGGAATTCCATGGGAGAAAAAACCCCCCAAAAACTACAAAGAATTCCATGGAAATTGCATGGAAATCTATGGAAATTCCGTGGAATTCCATGTGAAAAAACCCACAAAGACAAGCCTGGAGTTTAGGGAAAACCCAGGGAAATTCCCAGAAAGGTTTGGATTCCCCAGGAAAAAAAAAAACAACAGAAAAGTTGGAATTAAATCCCAGCAGGGCCAAGAGTTTTTTCTCCTATCCAGAGGATGGAGGAAAGCCACGATCCAGGGGTTAATTCCCAAAAATCCCACATCCAATGGCAGACCCTAAACAACCACCAGGGAAGTCCTTCCCAATCCCAGGCTCTCCCAGCTTGGAATTCCCACCCTAAATTCCAGTCCCAGCTTCAATTTCTGCTTCCAGGTTTATTTTTTTCCACTTGAAGTGAGCACAGAGAATTCCCGCTCCTCCTCTTTAGGGAATTCTGCATTTGTAGGGATTAAAAACTGGATATTTTACACCTATTTGGGGAAGAAAATATTCCTAAATATCCTGTGGAAAAATATCCCTGGAGCAGCCTGAGGGATTCCTCCGTTATTTTCCCAAGGCTGCTCCCAAACCGGGATAAGGCCGTGGAACAGAGAGAGGGAAAATTATCTCCAGAGCCTCCCCCAGCCACAGCTCAAGGTCGTTTTCCCAACGTTTTTCCCGTCTTTCCAACGGCCCCACGGCATTATCTGGGAATGCTGAGCTCCGGCACGGAGCTGTTTCCATCCCAAAACACCTGGGAACATCCCACACTTCCGAGTTATCGGGAGCGCAGGGAGAGGAGCTGCTGGAGCCAGGCCAGGGAATGCCACGGAGCTGCTCCAGGGCTGGGAGAGCCGGGAATGTGCAGCTGGATCAGGGAAGGATCCAGGGAATCCTTGGAGCCTTTTCCAGAGGCTCCAGGAGAGCTGGGATTTGGGAAAGGGCTGGAGGGCCAGGAGCCAGGGAATGGCTTCCAGTGGGAAAGGGGAGCTTGGGATGCTGGGATCTTGGGAAGGAATTCCCGGCTGGGCTGGAATTCCCAGAGAATCCCTGGATCCCTGGCAGTGTCCAAGGCCAGGCTGGATCACCCTGGGATCGTGGAAGTGTTGGGGTTGGAATGGGAATGGATTGAGGTCCCTTCCCACCCAAGCCATTCCAGGATTCCCAGAGGTGATTCCATGATCCGGGGCCTTTCCCGGTACCTGCACGTCCTGTTCCAGCTGGAATTTCATGCTGCTGTAGGTTTCCAGGCTCTCATCCTGCAGCTCGTTCAGCTGCCGCTCGAAATCCAGCGCCTTGTCCATCTGCTTCCGCAGGAATTCCAGCTGTGGGAACAAGGAGAAGCTCATCCCACCTCATCCAACCTCATCCAAACTCCTCCAAACTTATCCCACGTCATCCCACCTCATCCAATGTTCTCCAGCCTCATCCAACGCCCTCCAACCTCATCCCACCTCATCCAACCCCATCCCACCTCTTTCCAATCTCATCCAAACTCCTCCAACCTCATCCCACCTCATCCAACCCCATCCCACCTCTTTCCAATCTCATCCAACGCCCTCCAACCTCATCCCACTTCATCCAACCCCATCCCACCTCTTTCCAATCTCATCCAACGCCCTCCAACCTCATCCCACCAAATCCACCTTCATTCTATCTCATCAAGCCTCATCCAACCCCATCCCACATCCTCCCACCTCATTCCACCTCATCCAACCTCATCATCCAACCTCCTCCCACTACTTCCAACCTCATCCAACCTCCTCCAATCTCATTCCAGCTCATCCAACCATATCCAGCTTCATCCAACCTCCTCCCACCTCATTCCAGCTCATCCAACCTCCTCCCCCTACATCCAACCTCATCGAACCCCACCCAGCCTCATCCAACCCCATCCCACCCCATCCAACCTCATCCAAAGTTCTCCAACCTCCTCCTATTTCACCCATTCTTATCCAACCTCATCCCACATCATCCAATCTCCTCCAAGCTCCTTAAACTTCATCCAACCTCCTCCAACCCCATCCCACCTCATCCCACCCAATTTCACCTCATCCAACCTCATCCCAATTCATCCGTCCTCATCCAACCCCATCCCACCTCATGCAACCTCATCCACTCTCATCCCACCTCATCCCATGCCATCCAGCCCCATCCCACCTCATCCCACCTCTTCCATCCTCCTCCAACCTCATCCAACCTCATCCAAACTCTTCCAACCTCCTCCAACCTCCTCAAACCCCATCCAACCCCATCCATCCCAATCCATTCTCATCCCACCTCCTCCCACCTTATCCCACGTCATCCAGCTTCATCCAACCCCATCCCACCCCATTCCACCTCATCCAACTCCATCCCACCTCATCCAACCCCTTCCAATCTCATCCACTCTCATCCAACCCCATCCATCCCAATCCATTCTCATCCCACCTCCTCCCATCTTATCCCATGTCATCCAGCCTCATCCAACCCCATCCAACCCAATCCATTCTCATCCCACCTCCTCCCACCTCATCCAGCCTCCTCCACCTCCATCCACCCTCATCCAATCTCATCCAAACCCATCCATCCCAATCCATTCTCACCCCACATCCTCCCACCTTATCCCACCTCATCCCACCACATCCAGCCTCATCCCACCTTCTCTAACCTCCTCCAACCCCATCCTGCCTCATCCAACCCCATCCAAACTCATCCAACCTCCTCCAATCTCCTCCTACCTTCTCCAACCCCATCCAACCTCATCCAACATCCTCCAATCTCCTGCTACCTTCTCCAACCCCATACATCCCAATCCATTCTCATCCAATCTCATCCAATCTCATCCAACCCCATCCATCCCAATCCATTCTCACCCCACCTCCTCCCACCCCATCCAGCCTCCTCCAACCTCCTCCAACCCCATCCTGCCTCATCCAACATCCTCCAACCTCATCCCACCTCACCCAACCCCATCCAACCCCATCCAACCCCATCCAACCTCCTCCAATCTCTCCAGCCTCATCCAACCCCATCCAACCTCATCCAACCTCCTCCAATCTCCTCCTACCTTCTCCAACCCCATCCATCCCAATCCATTCTCATCCAATCTCATCCAACCCCATCCATCCCAATCCATTCTCACCCCACCTCCTCCCACCTCATCCAACCTCCTCTCACCTCCTCTAATCTCCTCCAACCCCACCCAACCCCATCCTGCCTCATCCAACATCCTCCAACCTCATCCCACCTCACCCAACCCCATCCAACCCCATCCAAACTCATCCAACCTCCTCCAATCTCCTCCTACCTTCTCCAACCCCATCCATCCCAATCCATTCTCATCCAATCTCATCCAACCCCATTCATCCCAATCCATTCTCATCCAATCTCATCTCATCTCATCCAATCTCATCCAACCCCATCCATCCCAATCCATTCTCACCCCACCTCCTCCCACCCCATCCAACCTCCTCCCACCTCTTCTAATCTCCTCCAACATCATCCAACCCCATCCTGCCTCATCCAACATCCTCCAACCTCATCCCACCTCCTCCAACCCCATCCCACCCCATCCCACCTTCTCCCACCCCATCCAACCTTCTCCATCCCGATCCCAGCCTGTTCCCACCCCAATCCCAAAAATCCCATCTCCTTCACGCTGCCTTCCAGGGCAGAGCTGATCCCGGCATTCCAAGCAGGACCTGGAGAGGGTCCAGGGAAGGGAATGGATTGGGAATGGGGCTGGAGCACCGGGAGAAGTTGAGGGAGCTGGGAAAAAAAGTCTCAGCCTGGAGAAAAGGAGGCTCCAGAGGGAACTTTCCCGTTCTGGAATTCCCGGAAAAGTTGGAGCCAGGTGGGATCGGCCTCCACTCCCACCGGATAAGAGGGAAAGTGCCAGGGGAGGTTTACCTGGATATTGGGAACAATTCCCACCTGGAAAGGGTTTTCCAGCCCTGGAAGAGCTGCCCAGGGCAGGGTGGAGTCCCCATTCCCGGTGGGATTGAAATCCATGTGGGATTTGGCCCTTTTGGGGGCATGGATCAGCACTGGGAATGTTTGGACTCGGTGATCCCAGAAGACTTTCCCACCCTCAGCGATTCCCGTGATCCCAAATCTCCCACGGGATTCACCTCCTGCTCGTTGTGGGCCCGGATGGCCTCATTCCACCTCTTCCGGTTGCTGACCAGCATTTCCCGACGCTCCTCCTCGAACGTTTTCTGCGGAAAAGACGGGAATTCCACACCGGGATCTCGGGAATGGCAACAGCCAGGCAGCGACGCTTTGGGATCGCTCCCAAAATCATTCCCAACCCCTCAGAGCTCCGGATTCCGGCCTCACCCACCCAGATTTTATCCTCAACTCCAGGGGTTTTTTTTCCCAAAATAAAGAAACAAAGTGGTTTTCCATCTTTTCCTGCTTTTCCCGGGATTTGGGTACCTCGATCTGCCGGAGGTTGTGGCGGTAGGCTTTGAGTATATTCCTGGTTTGTTCTTCCATCCTTTCCAGGAGCACCCGGATCGCATCCGCCTGCTCCTTCAGGGCCTGCTCGTACTGCTCATCCTTGGCAGAAGCAAAGTGGTTTTCCGTCTTTTCCTGCTTTTCCCGGGATTTGGGTACCTCGATCTGCCGGAGGTTGTGGCGGTAGGCTTTGAGTATATTCCTGGTTTGTTCTTCCATCCTTTCCAGGAGCACCCGGATCGCATCCGCCTGCTCCTTCAGGGCCTGCTCGTACTGCTCATCCTTGGCCTTCAGCGCCTGGAAAAACCGGGAGACGGGAGGCCGGAATCAGCGGGAATCCAGCGGGAATCCTCAGGGAAAGGGCAGGACGTGGAATTATCATGGATTGGGTGAGAAGGAACTTTAAGGATCACCCAGTTGCAACCCAAAGAGCCCAAGGTGATCCAACCTTTTCTCGGACACCACCAGGGATTCTCTGGGAATTCCAGCCCAGCCGAGAATTCCTTCCCAAGATCCCAGCATCCCAAGCTCCCCTTTCCCACTGGAAGCCATTCCCTGGCTCCTGGCCCCTCCAGCCCTTTCCCAAATCCCAGCTCTCCTGGAGCCCCTTTGGGCTCGGGAAGCGGCTCCAAGCATTCCCTGGACCCTTCCCAGCTCTCCCAGCCCTGGATCCACGGCCGAGGCGCTCCAGCCCTGGGAGCAGCTCCGCAGAATTCCCAAATACCTCCTGGAGCTCTCGGATGAGCCGGTTCTTCCCGGCCAGGAGCTCCTGGCACTGCTCCTGCTGCTGCTCCAGCAGCTCCCACAATTCCTGCGGGATCCTCACGTCCCCCACCAGGGCCCACTTGGAGTTGATCTCCTCCAACTTTTCCGTGCCGTGCCTGGCTTCCGCCTCCAGCTTTTCCAACCTGCAGGAAGACGGGGAAGCAGGGAGCTGGGATAGGGCTGGAATTTCTCCAGATCTGGGGTTCTTCCCATTCCCTAAAATCCTTCCCTGAATTCCTTTCCTTCCCTAAATCCCTTTCCTAAATCCCTGTCCTAAATCCCTTCCCTAAATCCTGTCCATGAATCCATTCCCTAAATCCATTCCCTGAATCCCTTTCTTTCCCTGAATCCCTTTCTTTCCCCAAATCCCTTCCCTAAACCCATTCCCTAAATCTCTTCCCCAAATTCCTTTCCTAAATCCCTTCCATGAACCCATTCCCCAAATCCCTTCCCTAAACCCATTCCCTGAATCCCTTTCCTTCCCTAAATCCCTTCCATTAATCCCTTCCCCAAATCCCGGGAGTGTGGATTTGGTGTTTCCTGGAATTTCCGGGAATGGAGCTGATGGAAAAGCAGGATAGGACCAGCCAGGAATGATCCTGGTGGGGGGATCAGGGAATGCCAGAGGCTGGAAAAAACTTTGGAAGGCTGGGAATTCCTTCCCAAGATCCCACAATCCCAAGCTCCCCTTTCCCACTGGGAAGCCATTCCTTGTCTCCCATCCCTCCAGCCCATTCCCAAATCCATCTCCAGCTCTCCAGGAAACCTCTGGAAAACTCCCTCAAACCACCTGGGCCAGGTGGGATTGGGGACCTCGTCGTGGGCTGGAATTTTCCGTCGGAATCCGGCGGCATTCCCAAATCCCCGGCTCCTCCCCGCTCACCTCCTCAGCTTCTCCCGCCCCTCCTTTTCCCGCCGCCGCGATTCCCGGAGGTCGGATTCCACCTGGACATTCGTCAGCAGCTGCGTCCCGTGGAAGAGCAGCTTGGCCAGGGCCTGCCGGGGAAGGGACACGCCGGGAATTCCGGCTTGGAATGCACCGTTCCCGATCCTTCCTGCCCGTGCGCTGGTTGGGAATCCAGTTCCATGGATCCCGGTCAAATCCCAGTCCCTAAAGGGTCCCGAAATCCCTTTCCTTCCCTAAATCCCATCCCTGGATCCCATCCCATCCCTGAATCCAATCCAATAATCCCATCCCATAATCCCATCCCATAATCCCATCCCGGAATCCAATGCCATAATCCCATCCCATAATCCCATCCCAGAATGCCATCCTGGAATCCCGTCCCGGAATCCCATCCAATTCCAGAATCCCCATTTATGGTTGGAAAAGCCCACGGAATCCAACCATTCCCAGCACCAACGATCCTGCTCTAATCCCGGTGCCGGGAAGTTTCTCTCCCGGTTTTTGGCCCAAAAAGGAGGAAAACCAGGGATAAGAAGGGATCCAAGAGGAGATTCCCATTAGATTCCAAATCCCACTCCTGGGGAGTGTCTCTCCCATTTTTTGTCCCACCAAGGAGAAACCAAGGAGGAAAACATGGAATAAGGATGGATCCAAGAGGAAATTCCCATCGGATCCCAAGGACCCAGCCCCAATCCCAGTCCCGGGGAGTTTCTCTCCTGGATTTTTGCCCAAAAAGGAGGAAAACCAGGGATAAGAAAGGATTAAAGAGGAGATTCCCATTGGATCCCAAATCCCAGTCCTGGGGATCTTCTCTCCTGGATTTTTGTCCCACCAAGGACCAAAACATGGAACAAGGAGGGATCCAAGAGGAAATTCCCATCGGATCCCAAGGACCCAGCCCCAATCCCAGTCCCGGGGAGTTTCTCTCCTGGTTTTTGGCCCAAAAAGGAGGAAAACCAGGGATAAGGAGGGATCCAAGAGGAGATTCCCATCAGATCCCAAATCCCAGTCCTCTGGATTTTCTTTCCCCATTTTTTGTCCCATCAAGGAAACACCACGGAAAAAAACATGGAACAAGGAGGGATCCAAGAGGAAATTCCCATCGGATCCCAAGGACCCAGCCCCAATCCCAGTCCCGGGGAGTTTCTCTCCTGGATTTTGGCCCAAAAAGGAGGGAAACCAGGGATAAGGATGGATTCAAGAGGAGATTCCCATTGGATCCCAAATCCCAGTCCTGGAGAACTTCTCTCCTGGATTTTTGTCCCACCAAGGATCAAAACAAGGGATGAGGATGGATCCAACAGGAAGTTCCCATCGGATCCTGATGATCCAGCCCCAATCCCAGTCCCGGGGAGTTTCTCTCCTGGTTTTTGGCCCAAAAAGGAGGAAAACCAGGGATAAGGATGGATCCAAGAGGAGATTCCCATTGGATTTCAAGGATCTGGCCCAAATTCCCACTCTGGCGTTTCTCTCCCAGTTTTTGGTCCATGAAGAAGAACCCAGGGATAAGGATGGATCCAGGAGGAGATTCCCAATCCTTCCTCACCCTCTCGGTCTCCTCAACCAGCTTCAGGCTCTTCCTCTCCTCTTCCTCCTCCTCCTCCTCCTCTTCCTGCTCCACCTTCTCTCCAAGGGCTTCCCTGCGAGGAAAACGGGGAAAAGTTGGAATTAATAACAAAAATAACAATAGTAATAGTAATAATAATAATAATAATAATAATAATTTTATATATAAATAGAAATTTAATTTAACTGACATACATGTATTTATAAATTTATGTATAATGTAATAAATATAATATAATATAATGTAATATAATATAATATTATATTATATTATATTATATTACATTATATTATATTATATTAATTATATTATATTTCATATAATTAGTATGGATTTGATTAATATACATTTTTATGTATTTATTTATATATACATATACATTTATAATGTTTATTAATCTAATATCCACCCCACCCTCTTCCCAATGTTTGGAAAGGGCCGGGATCCAATCCCAGCACGGCACACAGGAAGCAGGAAGCTGGGAACGGCATTCCCAAAGGAAAACGGGATCCAGGATTCCCCCTCTGGAGCCGGGAATGCGTCCAGGAATGCGGGATCAGTTCCTTGGGATTGGGAAAGGATTTGGGATGATCCTGGTGGGATCCTTCCTGCTCAGGAGATTCCAGTGGGATCAATTCCAGGTGGAATCAGGGAAGGATTTGGGATGACCCTGGTGGGATCCTTCCCACTCAGATATTCCAGAGGGATCAGGGAAGGATTTGGGATGACCCTGGTGGGATCCTTCCCACTCAGATATTCCAGAGGGATCAGGGAAGGATTTGGGATGACCCTGGTGGGATCCTTCCCACTCAGATATTCCAGAGGGATCAGGGAAGGATTTGGGATGACCCTGGTGGGATCCTTCCCACTCAGATATTCCAGAGGGATCAGGGAAGGATTTGGGATGATCCTGGTGGGATCCTTCCTGCTGAGACATTCCAGTGGGATCAACCCCAGGTGGTTCCTTGGGATTGGGAAAGGATTTGGGATTATCCCGATGGGATCCTTCCCACTCAGATATTCCAGAGGGATCAGGAAAGGATTTGGGATGATCCCAGTGGGATCCTTCCTGCAGAGGAGATTCCAGTGGGATCAATTCCAGGTGGGATCAGGGAAGGATTTGGGATGATCCTGGTGGGATCCTTCACCCTTGGGATATTCCAGTGGGATCAATCCCAGGTGGGATCAGGGAAGGATTTGGGATTATCCCAGTGGGATCCTTCACCTTTGGGATATTCCAGTGGGATCAATCCCAGGTGGGACTGGGAAAGGATTTGGGATGATCCTGGTGGGATCCTTCCTGCTGAGATATTCCAGTGGGATCAGTCCCAGGTGGTTCCTTGGGATTGGGAAAGGATTTGGGATGATCCCGGTGGGATCCATTTCCCTTTTGAGATATTCCAGAGGGATGAATCCCAGGTGGTCCCTTGGGATCGGGAAAGTATTTGGGATGATCCCAGTGGGATCCTTCCCGCTCAGGATATTCCAGAGGGATCAATCCCAGCTGGTTCCTTGGGATCAGGAAAGGATTTGGGATCGGGAAGGAGGAGCCTGGCAGGCTGACGAACGAGATTCCCTGGATTCGGAATTCCCGTTGGGAAGAGGATCCACAGGCACCTCGCTGTGGGTCAGGCTCGGGGGAAACGGTGCTTTCCATCCCGATTTTCCCTAAGAACTGTGGGAAAAGCGGGATCCTGACCCAGCCCCAGCTCGGGAGCGGATCCCGCTGCTGGATCCATCACAGCGGGATCCGATCCGGACGGGGAATCCATGGGATCCCGTCCGATCCCAGGGAAAATCCTTTGGGAAAAGGATCCCAGGTGGATCCCAGGATAGATCCGGGATGGGAATGGGGATTTTTCCAAGTGGGAATAGGGATTTTTCCTGGGAATGGGATTGTCCCGGAGCGGGGGGCAGGACGGGGATGTCCTCAACTTCGGGATCCGCTGGGATTGGGAATGGCGATCCCTGGGATTGGGAATCTCCTCCCAGGGGCATCCCTGGGCTCCTGCGTCCGCCTGGGAATTGTTTGGGAATGTTTGTTTGGGAATGTTTGGGATCGAGGGGAGGCCCCGGCCTGGGGCCACTTTGGGGACACTCCTGGGTCCCTGTCCCCTCCCAGCCCCCACTGTGGGAGTGTTCCGGGAACTGGGAATGGTCCTGAGCTCTGGGATTGGGATTGGGATGGATCCTGAGCCTTTGGGATTGGGATTGGGATTGGGATGGATCCTGAGTTTGGGATTTGGTTTGGGATGGGTCCTGAGCCTTTGGGATTGGGATGGATCCTGAGCCTGGGATTTGGTTTGGGATGGATCCTGAGCCTTTGGGATTGGGACTGGGATTGGTCCTGAGCCTGGGATTTGGTTTGGGATGGATCCTGAGCCTTTGGGATTGGGTTTGGGATGGATCCAGAGTCTTTGTGATTGGGATGGATCCTGAGCCTTTGGGATGGATCCTCAGCCTGGGATTGGGATTGGGATGGATCCTGAGCCCAGGATTTAGTTTGGGATTGGGACCGGATCCTGAACTTTTGGGATGGATCCTGAGCTCTGGGATTGAGTTTAGAATGGATCCTGAGCCTTTGGGATGGAACCTGTGCCTTTGGGATTTGGTTGGGGTTTAGGATTGGATCCTGAGACTTTGGGATGGATCCTGGGCCCTGAGAATGGATTTGGGATGGGTTTGGAGCCCTGGGAATGGCCCTGACCCCTGGGATTGGATTTGGGATGGATCCTGAGTTCTGGGAATGTCCCTGAGCCCTGGGATTGGATTTGGGATGGATCCTGTGTTCTGGGATTGGGTTTGGGACGGATCCTGAGTTCTGGGAATGTCCCTGACCCCGGGGATGGATTTGGAATGGACCCTGAGTTCTGGGATTTGGTTTGGGATGGATCCTGAGTTCTGGGATTGGATTTGGGATGGATCCTGAGTTCTGGGATTGGATTTGGGACGGATCCTGAGTTCTGGGATTGGGTTTGGGATGGACCCTGAGTTCTGGGATTGGATCTGGGATGGATCCTGAGTTCTGGGAATGTCCCTGACCCCTGGGATGGATTTGGGATGGACCCTGAGTTCTGGGATTGGGTTTGGGATGGATCTGGAGCCTGGGATTGGATTTGGGATGGACCCTGAGTTCTGGGAATGTCCCTGACCCCTGGGATGGATTTGGGACGGATCCTGAGTTCTGGGATTGGGTTTGGGATGGATCTGGAGCCTGGGATTGGATTTGGGATGGACCCTGAGTTCTGGGATTGGATCTGGGATGGATCCTGAGTTCTGGGAATGTCCCTGACCCCTGGGATGGGTTTGGAACGGATCCCCAGTCCCGGTTCCGGTTCCGAGCCCCGGGTTTGGGGTCGGCTTCTGATCCCCGGCCCAGTTTGGGGTGGGGACCCCCCGGCACCGCCCCCCCCCCCCCCCCCCGCCTCTGGAAAACCGGGAATGGGGGCCCGGCCCCCCGTTCCTCACCGGCGCCGGACATCGATGCGGTTCCGGCGGGCGGCGATTCGCTGCTGGCGCTCCCAGTCCGCGCTTTGTGCCCCCGGCCCGTTTGGGGGGGGGGCCCCCCGGGCCCCCCCCCCCCCCCCCCGCCTCTGGAAAACCGGGAATGGGGGCCCGGCCCCCCGTTCCTCACCGGCGCCGGACATCGATGCGGTTCCGGCGGGCGGCGATTCGCTGCTGGCGCTCCCAGTCCGCGCCGGACTCGGCACCGGCACCGGGATCGGTACCGGGATCGGTACCGGGACCGGCACCGGGATCGGCACCGGGATCGACACCGGGATCGGGAATGGGATCGGCACCGGGACTGGGATCGGTACCGGCAGTGGGATCGGTACCGGTACCGGGATCAGCGCCGGGATCCGGCTTGGTTTGGGGTTTAGGACCGAGTTTAGGCTCGGGCTCGAGCTCGGCGAGCTCCAGGCCCGGGCCTGGGCCAGCCCCGTCCTCCCCCGCCTCCATGAGCACACCTGAGCGCAGGTGCGCGCCCGTTAATGCGCATGCGCGGCTCCGGTTACCCCGGCAACCGGTGATGCGCGTTGTCTATTGCGCATGCGCGCGTCACGGAGCGTCCTTCGTTGCCGAGCAACGTGCGAGTCATCATCGGGACGTTGCTGCGCATGCGTCGTGGCTCCTCCCGTTGCTTGGCAACGGCGGGAGCATCATGGCCCCCCCCCTCCGAAATTTTCCAAATTTTCCCGGCGCGTTTTCCGTGGGAAACAGCGGGAAAAACGGCACCGGGAGAGATCCTCCCGCTCCTTCCCGCTGGGATCCGGGAGATGGGGACGGGGTTGGAGTGAGGGGAGGGGCTGGGGTGGAATTCCCAGAGAATTCCCAGAGAATCCCGGGGAGTGTCCAAGGAAAGGCTGGAGCACCCCGGGATAGCGTGGGAGTGGGATGGGATTTTAAATCCATGGATGCCATCCAAGTTATACCGGGATTCTGGGATTGAGGACGCTCAGGATGCATCCCGAGGGATTTTTATGGAATTTTATGGGGATGGAAAAGGGAAGGGAGACCCTTCCTGGAGTCCCGAATTCCCAGTGAAGTCCCTGGATCCTGAAATTCCTTCTCATAGAGGAATCGGGATGGGGATGGATCCAATGCCAGGCTGGGAGAGCTGGGAATGGAGGGAATTCCCTGGGAAAGGGGAGCTTGGAATGGTGGGATCTTGGGAAGGAATTCCCGGCTGGGCTGGAATTCCCAAAAAATCCCTGGATCCCTGGATCCCTGGCAGTGTCCCAGGAAAGACTGGATGGTCTTGGAGCAGCCTGGGGTCGTGGGAAGTGTCCCTGGGGTGGGATTGAAGGTCCATGGATCCCATCCCAAACCATTCCGGAATTCTGGGATCAAGGACACTCAGGATCCATCCCCAGGGATTTTTATGGAATTCGGGGATGGAAAAGGGAAAGGAGACACTTCCTGGAGTCCTTGATCCCGAAATTCCTTCTCAAGGAGGAATCAGGATGGGGATGGATTCAGTGCCAGGCTGGGAGAGCTGGGAATGTGCAGCTGGATCAGTGAAGGATCCAGGGAAGCCTTGGTGCCTTTTCCAGAGGCTCCAGGAGAGCTGGGATTTGGGAAAGGGCTGGAGGGCCAGGAGCCAGGGAATGGCTTCCAGTGGGAAAGGGGAGCTTGGGATGGTGGGATCTTGGGAAGGAATTCCCGGCTGGGCTGGAATTCCCAGAGAATCCCTGGCAGTGTCCCAGGACAGGGATCCCATTCATTCCCAAATCCTGGGGTTTTGCTTTTCCAGCCTCCCTCGCGCCGAGCTCCGGGACTTTTTTGGGAATTCCACGGGCTCCGTGGAAGGCAGGGAACAGAACTCTCCGGGCTCAGCATTCCCGGGCCTCTCCCTCCTCCTCCTCCTCCTCCGGGATGTGGGAGCGCCCGTTGCCATGGGGGTTGCCATGGAATTCCGATCCGCAGTTTCCATGGAAATCGCAGGAGCTTGGGAATGGGATGGGGGGGAGGGGGGCGAGGCCCTGCCGGGGTTCCCGGGATGGCTCCGCATGGGGAAAAAAAATTCCAGGCCTTCCCGAGCTCTGCTTCCCCAAATCCTGCTCTTTTCCCTTCCTGGAGATGCCAGGGAATGTTTCCTTTTCCAGGGAATTCCGCAGCCCTGGCGGGGCTGGTCTGGGATCAAGGAGCGGGAATATTCCAGGGGATCATTTATGGAAGATCCCGCTGGATTTTGGGGTTTCCCAATCTTTTTGGGGTTGCTCCTGGACGCGGCGATCCAAGTGATTCCCTCCAGGAATGCTGAGATGGGAAAAGAAGGGAAAATCCGGGAATTTCGGCCTGATCCATCCCCCCCAATCCCTTTCCCAACCCCGATCCCAAAGGATGAGGGAAAATGGGATGATCCCGTGACCTGACCCCATCCACCCACCCTCATTCCAGGATTTTCCTTGGGAAAAGGATAAAACTCATCCCAAACTGGAATTATCCAAATAAATCACGGAATCGCCGCAGGTTTTGAGGGCCGGCAAGCCCCGAATTCCTTGGAATGCTGGAAAATCGGGAGTGTGTAGCTGGGGGAGGGTTGGAATTTTTTCCAGCTCCAGCTTTTCCAGCCTGAAGATGGCAGCAAGCACCCGCGGCATTCCCGGCAGTGGGAACAGCTCCGTCCAAGCCTCTGGAAAGCGGCTCCAACTTCTCCCGCTCCCAAATCCCGGCCGGATCCTCCGCAGCTCACCCCCAACATTCCCCTTGGAAAAAAAAAGAAAAAAAAAGTGAGTGGATCCCTGTTTATTTTTATTTTAATTATAATTTTTTAAATTTTAATTTTTTTTCCCGGGGCTTCCGCGAGCCGCGATTCCCAAAGCGTCGCTCCCTAGCGATGGGAGGAGGGCGGTGGGGGGGGGGGAAGGGAAAAAAAAATTAAAAATAAAATAAATAAATCCCGGCGGGGTTTTGATTCCCAGCTCTCCGTGCCAATGGAAAAAGGGGAAAATTGGGAAGTGGAAGGGGAGGGAGGGGAGGGAGCAGCGGTTTCCCGGGAGCCGTTCCCGGAGCGACGGGAAAAGGGAGCATGGGATGGCTCAGCCGCCTCCTGAGCCAGCTCTCCTGTGAGTCCGCGGGAATCCGCCGGGAATGGGCACCGGGAATTGGGAATTCGGGAATTTCGACAGCGTTTTTCCACCCCCCGGGGCCGGGGATGGTCCCGAAGTTGCGCGTGGGCGAGGTCGGGATTGGGATGAGGGGATGGGAAAGGGGGAGAAAAGGACGAGGAGGAGCGGGATGGATCCCGCGGGGATTCCCGGGGGGATTCCCGGCGGGAATTTTTGGGGATCGGCTGCGGGGGAGATTCCCGGCCCCGAGGATGCGGGATTGCAGCCGGAGCCGCCGGAGCGTGGGAATTGCGCATCTCCGAGCGCGCGCGTGGGAGAGCCCGGGAACGGCCGGGGATGGGAATCGCGGGGGATCCGCGGGGAGAGGGGTTCGCCATGGATCCCGGGAATCGCCATGGATCCCGGGAATCGCCATGGATCCCGGGATGCGCACAGGATCCCGGGATTCGCTCAGGATCCTGGGATTCGCTCAGGATCCCGGGGTTCACTCAGGATCCTGGGGTTCACTCAGGATCCCGGGAATCGCCATGGATCCCGGGATCCACCCAGGATCCCGGGGTTCACTCAGGATCCCGGGATTTGCCCAGGATCCCAGGATTCATCCAGGATTCCGAGATTCACCCTGGATCCCGGGATTTACCCAGGATCTTGGGATTTGCACAGGACCCCGGGATTCACTCAGGATCCTGGAATTTGCACAGGATCCTGGGATTTACCCAGGATCCTGGGATTCACTCAGGATCCCAGGATTTACCCAGGATCTTGGGATTTGCCTGGGATTCCGGGATTCACCATGGATCCCGGGATTCGCCCAAGATCCTGGGATTTACCCGGGATCCTGGGATTCGCTCAGGATCCCAGGATTCACTCAGGATCCCAGGATTCACTCAGGATCCCAGGATTCGCTCGGGATCCCGGGATTTGCCCAGAATCCCGGGATTTGCTCGGGATCCTGGGATTCCCGCGCCTCATCCGCTTGGGAGAAAGGGTTTGGCATCCCTAGGAGCACAGTCAAAATGGATGATCCGGGATCTGGAATTCCAGAGAGGGGGATGACGGAATTCCCTGCGGGTTTTGGGGAGAGGGGCAGCCCCACATCCCTTGGGATTCATTCCCGTCTGCCAGGGGCCGTGGCCAGGTGGTCCCAGCTGGAGCCGGGAAAATTCGGGAGCAGCGGGAAAGGAGAGGGAGCTGAGGGAATGGGAAGGGATCAGGATTTGGATTGGGATTGGGATTAGGATCGGGATCAGGATTGGAATTCCTCCTCGGTGCAGGATCCTTGGGGCAGAATTCCCAGGATCCCGGGGATCCCAGGAGTGAGAAGGATCCTCTCAGCCAGGAAAGGGGCTGCAGCTCCACAGGAATTCCCACCTGGAATTTCGGGAAGGGCTCAATCCCCCTTCACTTCTCCATTCCCTCTCAGAATTCCCCATTCCCACTGGGAATTCCCAGCGGAATGGGATTGGGAATGAGCCGGGTGTCCTTGGACACCATTGTGGGATGCATCTCCACAGGAATTCCCACCTGGAATTTCGGGAAGGGCTCAATCCCCCTTCACTTCTCCATTCCCTCTCAGAATTCCCCATTCCCACTGGGAATTCCCAGCTCATCCTGGGATCCCAGCCACCCCCAAACTTTGGGATCAGGGGCAACCCATTGCTCCCCTCCCCTTCCCATTTTTCCTCCTGGCATTCCCAGCGACCCCTAAACCGCTCTGGGATTGGGATCGGGATCAGGATTGGAATCGAGATTGGGATCGGGATTCCTCCTTGGTGCAGGATCCTTGGGGCAGAATTCCCAGGATCCCGGGGATCCCAGGAGTGGGAAGGATCCTCTGGGCCAGGAAAGGGGCTGGGAGAAGAATCCCGGCAGGGGCTGCAGCTCCACAGGAATTCCCACCTGGAATTTTGGGAATTCCCACCTCACTTCCCCATTCCCACTGGGAATTCCCAGCTCATCCCGGGATCCCAGCCACCCCCGCCCCGTGGGATCGGGGGCACCCCATCCCTCCCTTCCCGTTCTTCCTCCTGGCATTCCCGTAATTAGGAAGTGCTCATCCCACCTCGCTTCCCCATTCCCGCTGGGAATTCCCCCTTTCCACATCCCCAAACTGTGGGATCGGGGCACCCCATTGCTCCCCTTCCCGCTTTTCCTCCTGGCATTCCCAGTGTTCCCTAAAGCACTCTGGGATCGGGATTGGGATTGGGATAAGGATCGGGATCAGGATTGGAATTCCTCCTTGGTGCAGGATCCTTGGGGCAGAATTCCCAGGATCCCGGGGATCCCAGGAGTGGGAAGGATCCTCTGGGCCAGGAAAGGGGCTGGGAGAAGAATCCCGGCAGGGGCTGCGGCTCCACAGGAATTCCCACCTGGAATTTTGGGAATTCCCACCTCACTTCCCCATTCCCACTGGGAATTCCCAGCTCATCCCGGGATCCCAGCCACCCCCGCCCCGTGGGATCGGGGGCACCCCATCCCTCCCTTCCCGTTCTTCCTCCTGGCATTCCCGTAATTCCAAACCCCTCTGCGGGATCGGGGGTCGGGGCTGGTCCTGCGGGCGGAATTCCCGGGACGGCGGGGATCCCGGGATCGGGAAGGTGCCGCCGCTTCCCGGGGGAGGGGCGGCGCCCCGGGACCGCCTCCCGCTCCTTCCCCCTTCCTGCCCCGGCTCCTTCCGCGCCCCGGGAGCGGCTCCGGCTTTTCCCGGGATCCGGGGTGGGGTGCGGGGGGATCCCCCTGCGCCGGGAGAGGAGCGGGAAGGATTCCCGGGAATCCGCGCCGGAATTCCCGGCGGATTCCCGAAGCTCTGCCGGGATCCCGCCGTGCAGGTGAGGGGGATCCCGGAGTTTTCCCGACTTTTCCATCCCGGCTTCCTGGGAAGCGCTGTCTGGAAGCGATTCCAGCGCTTCCCGAGGGATCAGATCCCACCGGGATTCGGGATCCGGGAGCAGGGATCTGATCCCTCCGGGAGCCGGGAGCCGGGAGCCGGGATCTGATCCCTCCGGGAGCCGGGAGCCGGGAGCCGGGATCCGGGATCTGATCCCACCTGGAGCCGGGATCCGGGATCTGATCCCACCGGGATCCGGGATCCGATCCCACCGGGAGCCACCAGGACACGGGGATCCCGCGGGAAAGGTGAGAGCCGCTTCCCAAAATCGGGAAACGCCGGGGGAAGAGCCGAGGGGATGCGAGCGGGAGTTGGGAAAGGTGCTCTCCATCCCCTTCCCAAGATTCCGGGAAAACCGGGATGAAGTTTGGAAGGCGGAAGCTCGGGAATTTGGGAATATGCGAGCTGAAGATCGGGAATTCCATGGGATTTGCTGGAATCAAGGTTTTCCCAGCGCTGGGACGGTTCCGGCGGTTCTGAAAGCGGGAATTGGGAATGTTGGGGATTTGTTGGGATTTGGTGCATCCAGGGATTCCGTGATTCCCTCGGGATCCGCGGGGATGATCCCGCTGCCGGATCACTGGGATTGGGATGGGGATCCCCCTCGGGGAAGCTCCTGAGGGTGTTGGAAGGGGCTGGGAATGTCCCAGGGAAAGGGAACATCCAGGGAATGTCTGAGCAGGAATCGGGAAGGATTTGGGAATCTCGGAGGTGAGAAATTCCGGGAGCAGGATGCAAATCCCGGCCTCCAGGAAAATCCATATCCGGCCCCGAGCTTTTCCAAGGGCTGGGAATGCAACGTTGGAATCCTTTGGTTTTTTCCTGGTGGATGGAGCTGGAAATCTGGGAATTTTCTGGGTGGTTCCTCCACCGAGGAAGGGGTAAAACCTGGGATAACCAGCCGGAAAATTCCCACAGGGATAAAAGGAGGTTTTCCCGTGGAAAATCCCACGGGTTTGGCTGCGTTTGCCCTCGGGATGGATCCCAGGAAGGGCAGGGATGGATCCTGGGAAAGATCTTGGGAAGGATCCCGGGAAGGATGCGAGTGGATCCTGGGAAATGCAGGGATAGATCCCAGGAAGAATCCCGGGAATAATCTTGGAAAGGATAGGAATGGATCTCAGGAAGAATCCCTGGAAGCATCCCAGGAGGAATGGGAATGGATCCTGGGAAGGGTGGGGATGGATCCCAGGAAGAATCCCAGGAAGGATCCTGGGAAGGAGAGGGATGGATCCTGAGGAGGGCAAGGATTGATCCCAGGAAGGATCCCAGAAAACATGGGAATGGATCCTGGGAAGGATCCCGGCAAGGATCCCAGGAAGGGCAGGGATGGATCCTGGGAAGGAGGGGGGTGGATCCCAGGAAAGATGCGGATGGATCCCAGGAAGGATCCCAGGAAGGATTGGGATGGATTCTGGGAAGGATCCTGGGAAGGATCCTGGAAAGGATGGGAATGGATCCCAGGAAGGATCCCAGGAAGGATTGGGATGGATTCTGGGAAGGATCCTGGGAAGGATCCTGGAAAGGATGGGAGTGGATCCCAGGAAGGATCCCAGGAAGAACAGGGCTGGATCCTGGGAAGGATCCCGGGAGGATCCCGGGAAGGACTGGGACAAATCCCAGGAAGAGCAGGGACAGATCCCAGGAATGATGGGGATGACTCCCAGGAATTATGGGGATGAATCCCAGGAATTGTGGGGATGGATCCCAGGAATTATGGGGATGGATCCCAGGAATTGTGGGGATGGATCCTGGGAGGGATCCCGGGAAGGATCCCGGCAAGGACGGGAGCGCTGGGATCGCGGCGAGGCCGTTTGAGGAAGCGGCAGAGAAAAGGGAACAGGAAGAGGCCGAGGCTCCCGACAGCCCCCGGGAAACCTCGGAAAGCTCCGGAGCTGGCGCCGAAAACGGCCCGAAAATCCCTTCCGTCAAAATCCCGGGATCCGACGGGGAAATCCCAGGATCTGAGAGGAAAATCCTGGGATCTGACAGGAGGATCCCTGGTTCTGAGGGGAAAAATCCTAGGATCTGACAGGAAAATCCCAAGATATGACAGGGAAATGCTGGGATCTGATGGGAAAATCCTGGAATCTAATGGGAAAATCCCAGGATCTGACAGGAAAATCCCAGGATCTGATGAGAAATCCTGGGATCTGATGGGAAAATCCCGGGGTCTGATGGGAAAATCCTGGGATCTAACAGGGAAATCCTGGGATCTGTTGGGAAAATCCCAAGATCTGACGGAAAAAACCCCGGGATCTGATGGGAAAACCCCGGGATCTGTCAGGAAAATCCCAGGATCTGATGAGAAATCCTGGGAACTGACAGGAAAATCCCGGGGTCTGATGAGAAATCCTGGGATCTGATGGGAAAATCCCGGGGTCTGATGGGAAAATCCTGGGATCTAACAGGGAAATCCTGGGATCTGTTGGGAAAATCCCAAGATCTGACGGAAAAAATCCCAGGATCTGACGGGAGAAAATGTGAATATGGGAATGGTGGGAATTTGGGAATGATGGATATCTGGGAATGGGGAATCCATGGGAATGATGGGAAAATGGGAATGATGGACACATGGGAATGAGGGATATGTGGGAATGATGGACATGTGGGAATGAGGGATATGTGGGAATGATGGGAATATGGTGGGAATTATGGATACCTGGGAATATGGGAATGATGGGAAAATGGGAATGATGGATATTTCTGAATGAGGAATCCATGGGAATGATGGGAAAATGGGAATGATTGATACCTGGGAATGATGGGAACAGGGGAGTGATGGGAATATGGGAATGAGGGACAGGTGGGAATGATGGGAATGTGGGAATGGTGGATACCTGAGAAAGATGGGAAAATATGGGAATATGGGAATGATGGGAACATGGGAATGATGGGAAAATGGGAATGATGGACATCTGGGAATGAGGGACCCATGGGAATGATGGGCACATGGAAAACAGGGATAGGTGGGAATGAGGGATGGACAGGAATTATGGGAATATGGAAATGATGAGGATGATTGATACCTGGGAATGATGGGAATATGGAAATGATGAGAATGATTGATACCTGGAAATGATGGGATTTTGGGAATGATGGGAAAATGGGGATGATTGATACCTGGGAATGATGGGAATACGGGAATGATGGGAATATGGGAGTGATGGATATGTGGGAATGATGGGAACGGTGGAAGTGATGGAAGTGTAGGAATGATGGGAAAATGGGAATGATGGGAATGATTGATACCTGGGAATGATGGGAATGATGGGAAAGATGGACACCTGGGAATTCATGGATCATCCATGATTTGGGAATTTGGCAGAGCCATGGGATCTCAATCCCGGGTCAGCACAGGCTGGAAAATGAATTCCCAAATTTTTTCGGGATGATTTTTGGGCAGGGAACAGGCGGAGTGGGGCCAGGTGGGAATTCCTTCTTTTCTGGCCTGGAAAAAATTCGGGATTTGGGATTTTCCAAAGCCTGGGAATGCGTTGGGATGTCTTCTCCTGGGATCGCTCCCGGCTGGAGCAGCCGGAACGGCCAAAATATCCATCGGGATGGGGATTAGAAGGAATAGTTTGGAAAACTGGGAAAAATTCCCTGAAACTTGGGAATTTTCCCTGAGGGGAGGATGTGGTGACCCCCCACCCTCGATCCCATGGAATTCCTGGGATCCCATGGAATTCCTGGGATTGGCTGCAGGGCTGGGAATGACGGGGCTGGGATCAGACAGCCGGAACTCCAGAGGTTTTCCAGATCGGGAATCACGATCCCAACAGCCAAAAAAAAAAGGAAAAAAAAAAAAGTGGGATTGAGGATCCTCCTGGAAGCTTCCATCCCGAAATTCCAGGACATCCAGGGAGCTGTTCCTTCCCAGATGGTTGGGTTTGATCCAATCCCGGCTCGGGAACACCGGGAATATCGGGAACGCGGAGTTCCTTCCCTGTTCTCCCTGATCCTGAGTCATTCCCGTGCGTGGGATTCCGGCAGAGCTCCCGGCCGGGGGCGGATTCCCGGGAAAAGGTCGGATACCCGGGAAGGGGCTGGATTCCCGGGAAAAGGTCGGATTCCCTGGAAGCAGCTGCCGAGGGGATGCGGGGAAAGAAGGGAAAGAGGGAAAAACGGGATGCAGGGAAAAGGGGGGAGCTGGAGGAGACGGGAAACTGGGAAAATGGGAATTTGGGAAAATGGGAACCAGGGGAAATGGGATACAAGAGAAATGGGATGCAGGGAAAATGGGATGCAGGAAAAATGGGATGCAGGTGGAAATGGGAAGCAGAGGGAAATGGGAAACTGGGAAAATGGGATGAAAGAGGAGATGGGAGCACAGGAAAATGGGATAAAAAAGAGATGGATGCAGGAAAAATGGGAAGCAGAGGGAAATGGGAAACTGGGAAAATGGGATGAAAGATGCGATGGGAGCACAGGAAAATGGGATAAAAAAGAGATGGATGCAGGAAAAATGGGATGCAGGTGGAAATGGGAAACATGGGAAAGTGGGATGCAAGTGAGATGGGAAACGGGGAAAATGGGAAAATGGGAAGCAGGGGAAATGGGATACAAGAGAAATGGGATGCAGGGAAAATGGGATGCAGGAAAAATGGGATGCAGGTGGAAATGGGAAGCAGAGGGAAATGGGAAACTGTGGGGGAAAATGGGATATGAGAGAGGTGGGATGCAGGTGGGAAAACAGGGAAAATGGGATGCAGGAGGAGATGGGATGCAGGGAAAATGGGATGCAGGAAAAATGGGATGTAGAGGGAAATGGGAAACTGGGATGGAAGAGGAGATGGGAAGCACAGGAAAATGGGAAGCAGGAAAAATGGGATGCAGGTGGTGATGGAATGCAGGGAAAATGGGATGCAGGTGGAACTGGGAAGCAGGGAGAGGTGGGAAACGTGGGAAAATGGGACACAGGTGAGATGGGAAACAGGAAAAACGGGAAACTGGGAAAATGGGATGGATGTGATG